ATGTTCACATGTTGAAATATTCACTTTGTAAGCTAAATAATGTGATTGACTGTATAAAAGAAAATGAAATAAAAAATAAATAAATAATTAGAAGTTTTTGGTTAGAATTTGTGACTGCTAAAACCTTTTCAAATAGGGCATTTTACTGTCATTAAAAGTGGCACATTGTTGATCACAAATTTTGTCACATAAGTTTCTGTGACACTCAAGTAGCCTTATGTATCATCTGATATTGAAATATATTTGTATAACATACAAACAGGGAGCAAGTAATCTTTTTTCTTAGGATCTACCTAGCTCATTAAGATGTGTTTCTTATATACCAAAATTATTTGAATTCCTTTTATACACTAGATATTTATACTTTCTATGCTATAGAAGTAGTAGAAACATTGCTACATCAATTATGGCTCCCTGGAAAGAAAGAGACTCATTCTCTAAAAAATCATGAATATAATTTAATTACAAGCACATTCTTTTTATTTCACTGTAGGGTATGTGTGCTCACCAGAGACAAACACAGAGAGAAGTAAAGTGAGATACCACTGTTCCATGAGAGATGGCTACACCCCAATTCCTCATCTCCATTTTTTTTTTTTGAGAGGTTTTCGCTATAGGGCGCATGTGCTTACCAGACGGACAGAAAGAGACAGAGAGACAGAAAGCGAGAAATCACCCACCGGGGGGATGGCCACGCCTCAATCCCTTCTCTTCTATTCTACTCTCGGGATCTTGGGCACACACGCACACGCGCCTGGCGTGAGTTTTAAGCCACCAGGTCCGTGGTCGACTACATGAAGTCAAGTGACATAGCCATTATGCTAACTGCTGGTCCCCCTCATCTCCATTTTTCTTTTCAGGATTCTGGGCACACATGTGTTTATGCTGGCACATGTTCCAAGCCACTGGGTTGGGACTCAAACTGCACTTGGCCATGTGGAATCCACCACCTACTGGTTGACCCCAGTACATGCTTATATTTTTATTACTATTATTATTTTTTTATTATTTTCTGCTTTAGGGCATGTGCACCAGTGAGAGCCAGAAAGAGAGACAGGTATAGTGACAAATCACTCATAAGAGGTGATGACCACACTGAAATCACTTCTCCATTCTGCTCTTAGATATTGGGCTTGTACCCACATGTGCCCCATGTGATTTTCAAGCTACTCTGTCCAGGACTGGGAACTATGCAGACAATCATGTGGGATCCAAAGCCTTAACCTTCATACCACCTGCTCATCCCAGTACATCATTTTAAAAATCAATGATATTTGTGTATGATGACACCCATCATTCTTCACTTATGGAAAAGAAATTTGAGGTCAGATATCATCTTTTATCATTGTTGTACCACAGAGTAGTTTAAGATGAATTTCTTTAGGTTTCTAATTAGCCAACTTCAAGATCCTGAGAACTGACCTCCCCTTTGAGAAAAATTCGTGTTTTAAACCTTCTCTCTTTTACCTTAACTCACACTGTCATCACAGCATTTTGTTTGACACCGCATGCTCAAGTGAGACAAAGCATTTAGTGTGACCTTTTGTATATGAACCACCTGGAAAATTTATAGAAGTTACACAAATCTGAAAGTATTATTACCACTGATGGTTAAAATGGTGTCCTAAAGATTTGTGGCTGTTGTGAACACGACTTGCTTTTGCATTTCCCAGCCCCCCTGCTGCATTGACATTTAATCGGTTTTCTGTATTTTTTTGAACCAGAGCCGTCACTGGCAATAACATACTTTTGCATATGCATCAGTTTGGCTTTACTGCAGATTTTTGTTCACATTGGACTCCTACTGATGTACACAGATTTAAAGTCTAAAAATTAAATTTAATTTTGTATAGCTTATAAGTAGTCCCTAAAGGGTCTTGGATCCTAAAAGCTAATATTTTTAAGACATAATCAGCAAGAATAGGTAGTGCATTACCATTAGCCACATTAGCAGCAATAGTAACAAAAGGAAACAGTAAACATAAGTGCTCTTAGCTACTTCATTCTCCACCACGAATATTAATATAAAATTGCACAGATTAGAGTTGCAGTTTAACATTATTCAATGTGTTTATTCATTATGATCATTTCATATTTAAAGAACACCAAAATATTGTGTTTTGTCAGCCAAGGACAATAATAGTTTAATAGTAATTTATTTTAAACAGCTACTGATAATACAACCAATCAACACATTAAGTGGTGCCAACATTGGCATCTTGCTAAATAATCTCTAGACATTGCACAGAGAGTACATCTTTCAAAGATAAGTCAACAAGAGCAATCAGAGCAGAAAATTAGAATTTGGTATCTTAGAATTAAAATACAGCTAAACTAAAGTTTTAATTGGGGTGATCTAAAAGGGCACTTGATGTAATGATCTCTTTCATTTGTTACTAATTGTTTGTTCCTGATGAAGAAGAAGCATACCCAGGAATGTTGCTGAATTGAGTTAAGATGGCAGTTTCCTTAGCAGCTATGTTTTATTGTTAAACAACAAAAGAGTGGGGAGGGGCAAACTGCCACATAGAAATCCTTCTCCAGCTTGTTTCAGATCACAAGAATTATACCAGGAAATTCAGGGTCGGGGATAACAAATATGAAATCATCTATATGTGCTTGAAAAGAGAATAAAAACGGCTTGTGACAATGCTATAAGCTACATTGGGAGGCTGAAGTAAGGATACATCTTTATTGAGCTAACAAATCAAACTAGAGATGAAATTCCTGATTCAAATGGCTTAAACCTGTCTCTTCAAGGGGTTACATTCTGAAGTACATCTACCAATAGTATCAACTTCCATCTCATGTAGGATTTCAGTGGGACCTTTTTGTCTCTGATACTTAACAGACCAAGAAAAACATCTCCTGTTTCAAAATAGCATTTTGTATTGCAGAATTGCTAAAGATAGAATAAAAGTTCTAATTTTTACGAACAACTTTGGCCCAAACTCTCTGAGGAGAGAAAATATAGAGGATGCTTTTTATATGCTTAAAATAGTCTCATAATTTTGTTTTTAAAAGTCTTAAAAATACTGCTTTTTTGTTGTTTTTGTTTTGTTTTGTTTTGTTCTTGTTTTGTTTTTTAAGATTATTGCCCTAGGGCACATGCACTCCCCTGAGACTGAGAAGGAGAGGAAGAAATCATATCTCCCACCCCCACCCCCATCAAACCCCAGGGCATAGTCATGCCACAATGCCTACTCCTCCATTCTCTTCTTGAGCACCCATGCACATGTGACTAGTGGAATTTTGAGCATCCACACACATGTGACTAGTGTGATTTTTAAGTCACCCTTTCTAGTACTCAAATGTTGACCATTTTGGAGTCCCATGTCTTAACCATCACACATCCTGCTAGCCCACCGCTAAGTGTTTTAAGAAAGTATACAGTGAGTAAACTTTTATAATATATGATAATATCAAGCTGTATGCAGATATAAACTTTATTTTCACCTTTGCTTTTTTGAATTATTTTTGCTGTCAAATAGTTTCCTAAAAGTTATTTTCTATTTATTACAATGATTTAGAGTGACTTTTTGTTATTACGTCACTAAGTTTTAGATCCTTCAAATATATATCTCAATAAAAAATGTAACATTATTATAATTTGTATTGATGAAATTTCAAAATGTACTATACAAGGACACTTTAAGAAATTCATACACATGTCAGCAGGTGGCGTGGTAGTTAAGGGCACTGAATTCCCACATGACCGGTTGCAATTCGAGTCCTGGACCTGGCAGCTTACTTTCTCATTTTCCCTCTCTCTCTCTGTCCCTCTCTGGTTAAGCTAAAATAAGATAAATAAATGAAGTTAAATACAACAATTCTTTTTTTTTAAAAATTATACAAAAATGAAGTTAAGGTAAGAGTTAATTTAGGAGTTAGACGATGGCCAAGTGGTAATACAACTGTACTCTCATGGTAAAGGTTCTGGGTTCACGCCCTGAGGCCTCCTTATACAAACTGGTTGAATGTGCTTAAACTACGGGTGGATCATGGTGTGGGGACCCTATTGGGATGCCTTACTCCTTCTTTCTTTTTTTCTTGCTCTGTCGTGGAAGAAATAAGTAATACTTAAAAACATTCTTTTTTCTAAAAGCACAATTTTGTTTTTATGAAAAAAAAATTGACATCCATGCATAGTTTTTCATTATACACATTTTCTTGGACCATTTTGAAGGGCCCTCACATGCTAAGCACTGTCTCGGCCCTGAAAACACAGTAGTGAATGAGAGAAAGTGTTCCCGCATGGGACAGTTTACATGTTGGTGGAGGGAACTTAACATAAATTCAGTATACAAATAAGTATGTGAAAGCATTATGTAATGATAAATGCTAATAATAATCTTAAGAAGAAGTGACAAGATACTTTTGGAGGGATGTTCCAAATAGAATAGTTAGAGAAGACCACTTCTGAGTGGTGACTTCAGACGAAGATGAAATGAAATTAGGATCTGTACAATGCAAAGATCTGGGAGAAAAGCATTCAGGAAAGGTACAGAACCAGCTGATTCCCTGGGGAAGAAACAAATCATTACACTGAGGATCCAAAAGAATATTATTGCTTCTAGTGTAATCTTGGTAGGGAGCAGAGGAATGAGCTGTGAGAGCGAGGGGAGTACTTCCAGTTTCATGCAGGGTTGCAAAAGCCATGTCAGATAATTACTGGTGGAAGAGTTTCTGTCTAATTTTCTTCTCACTTGTCATTGTTCATACATGCTTATGTGCTGGCTTCATTTAGCTTTGCTTCTAAATACTTTAATCACAAGCAACTGAACCTGCATACCACAAATATTTGTCCTCTTAAAATAGTTTAATTATATTTGGAAGTTTTGTGCTTTAGTTATAGTATTGTCCTAGTTGGTGTAGTGTGAATGTACCACAAGAATTAAATAATTTAATAAATGAATGCTTCTCCTTTAAAATGTTTTAAATAATGAATGAAATGTACTTTGTACCAAGATATAACCATTTTGAATACCTTTTTTGTACAGGGGCTCTTGAAAGTTGCCATAGATAATGCTAGAGCTCAAGAAAAACAGGTCCAACTGGAAAAAACAGAGCTGAAGATGGATTTTTTAAGGGAAGGGAAAGAGAACTAAGGGAAACACTTGAGAAGCAGTTGGCTATGGAACAGAAGAATAGAGGTACTCCCAAACTTCCAAACAAGTTTAATAGTTTAAGTAAAATATTCAACATAGTATTGCTGTGTTTGATAATTTACTTTGAGACTTCTCATTAATCTGCCTGTAGGTAAAGTTCAGAGCAGAATCTGAACCTGAGGTTCATCGTATTTTTTGATTTCCAAAGTATATGTTTTCTCTTTTGCTCCTACTTCAGAAAATTAGAATTTATCCACTATATCAATCATCATATGATTTTTATTGCTTGTATAGTTTAACATATGCTTTAAGATAAGAGTGAGCTCTGATGACAGCCATGAAGAAAAATTTTATGTTCATTCGCTCTCGCCATTTGAAAAACTTAAGAGTTAAAGTCATAAAGCTCAAATAGAAAATACTGATTATTCAAGTGAGACGGTTTTCTTAAGATACTTATCAGCTGAAATTGAAGACTGATGAATATCTGAACAAATGACCGAAGTTAAGTGTTTGTATAAATTTCTTTCTGAATGCCTTATTTTCATCCTACAAGGCCAAGTACACAAAGTAGAAACCAACATGACTTCTTATTGGGTAAAAATAATGATATTATTGATCCTCGAATTGGTTCTCTTAATACACTGTACTGTGCATCGATAAAGAATTTTGAAGGTCACTCATATTTGTGTTTATTTATGTATGACTTGGAAGAATATTTTGTTTGAATCCCACTCCTCTGCCTCTACTTTAAGATTCTCCTATGTGTTATAAAAGGACATACACTGGTTTCCTCTCTTTCAACATTATCCATCCTACATATTTCATATATTCTTTTTCTTTGTGTTGGACATATTTCATTTTTACTTTTAAAGCTATCAGGACTTACCAGACTGTTACATTAATTGTAATGAAGCAACAGCTATTGGGTAAATAGGGTGGGATCAGTTTAGAAAACTGTCAGTCCAGGTGACAGCACAGTTCTAAGCAATGTGGCTTCACATAGGTTTAGGTATTATTGAGTTGTTGGAAAAGTCATGACATATTTTTGTTAGAAAAAATGATCAAAACAAGATCATATGTTTTGAACACTCACTTCCATAACCACCTTGAGATTATCCTCACCAAATACCAGAGTTGTGTTCTTGCACTTAGCCTTCCAAACTATATTATCCCAATAAACTTCTGTCCTCTCTAAATTAAAAAAAAAAAAAGATAATCATCAATAATGGGTATAAGTAAGTGAAGAAGTTTGGTTAAAGAGTTCAATCTATGGAACTTTTCCATGAGATAGTCATGTCTTAATTTTTAAAAGTAGGTCCTGGTGTTCTCAAGTAACTACTTGGTGACTTTAGGGACTTTTAGAATTTCATTAGTTCAAATCCATTGGGAGGAATTATATTTCGTTGTATCCCTTTAACCACTAGAGGGCAAAACATTCACAGATCACACCATGAACTTTCCATTTAATTAATTATGAACAGCAAATTAAAGGTATGACTACCAATACTTATCAATTATGAATGAGTCTGTAGAGGCAGTGTATTTTCTGAAGAGAGAACATGGCGGTCTCAGTTGATTCAATCACACAGGAGAAAACAGTGAGCGGTTAATGGCAGGGTGCTGAATATTAAGCTTTTAGAGCTGCAGGAATGTACAATCCAAATAAATATTTCAGAAATTACTGTTTCTTTTCAAAGAGATTTAGAAACAGACATTTTTTGAAAGGGAAATGGTAGGCAAATTATATTCTTAAGGTAAGCATGACTTTCACAGTATTAAGTACCTGAAATTAGCATTTTCTTGAAATCAATTTTAATTATTTTTCTTACAAAACTGTAGTCAATGTATATTTTAATATGAATCCAGTTTTTTAAAAAATGTATGATATAGTGGGCCAGTCAGTGGCATGGTGTTTAAAATGGCTAGATCCACATGCTGACTGAACAGTCCTGGACCCAGTGGCTTGAAAAACATGGCCAGGCACATGTGCTTGTATGCTCAAAATCCTGAGAGGAAAATGGAGGGGAAGGGATTGCAGTGTAGCCATCCCCCATAGGAGAGTGATTCATTTCTTATTCTCTCTCTCTCTCTGTCTGTCTATCTGTGTCTCTTTAGTGAGCACATATATCTTATGGCAAAAACCTGAAAAAGAAAAAATTCTAGTGCTATAAATTTTCTATGAAGAAACTATTCCCTGAGAAATTTATAATAGCTCCATCCTAAAACACCATTTCTGGTTATATACGTTAACAGTAATTAAGTGCATTTTGCTCCTCATATATAAAACAATACTGCATTTTTGGAAATTTCAAGAAGAATTATTAAAAATCGACTTTGTGTGACATTGTTTTCCAAAGTGTTATAGGAGAAATGCTCCTTATGTTACTGAAAATTAGAGCATCATAAGGAAATAGAAACCAGGCTTCTAAAGGTTTGCACTGCTCAAACTATTCTGTACTGTTCTGATTCAAGGGCAAAGAACTCTATCTCAAAATTTATTTAATTAAGCTACTTTTATTAGAAAATGCAAATGTTCACTAAAATTAATTTCTCATTAAATTAATCACTACCTATGACAATTGATAGCTTTCTTGTATTAAAATAAAAATTGATCTCCTTAAATATTTTGCTGGGAGTCATTTTAGGTAAAGGTAGGGTTTTTGTTTGTTTTGCTGTTTGTTTTTTAAACTTCCTCTGTATAGGAAGACTCAGTCCAACAGGAAAAAAAAAAAGAGAGAGAGAATAATATGAAGTACAAGGGCCATTTGTAAAGTAATAAGATTGCAAAAACATTTTAAAAAAATGAGTAAAATGTGTGCAC